TGCGGTTGTGTTTGCCACCCGATGCAGAGTTTTGCAAACACAAATGAAATTTTGCCAAAAGCTTCTTTTTGTGAGCCAAATTGTTTGCAAACAGTACTGCTGTATAACACTCTGTAAAAGACATTTTTGTCCTACAATCAGGATGATCTTAAAAATATGAGATATAAATATAATGACTAGAAATAATTAACATGCAAAATAAAGCGTAAATCAGTAGCCATTGTTGGAGGGGTCTGTCCTAGTTTTGAGGTCTGAGGTTCAGCTCTCTGCTTGCATGAGCTTGTCTGCTTCTGAAATGAAAACGACCTGGAACTCTTTGCTGTCTTTTCACTTGATCTTAGCTAAAAGGCTGAGGAGCGATTCCTTAGTCTCTTCATGTAGTCTGACACATTTGTGGCAGCAGTGTTAACTTATGGTGAGGATCCTGTTCTGTAATGTTTTACTTTCCCTCCAGAAAACTCAATTTATGATCTCTCACTCGTGGCGGCGACCTTCAGGTAAATGCGTGGGAAAAGCAGAAGCTATCTAAGGATGATAAGACTGACCGACCAGCTCTGAGCAACATATAAATACCAATAACTCAGGAAGCTCTGTTGAGGAAGGATATGCCATTGTGTCGGTGTTAGTGATACGGTAGGATTGAGCATTGGTATTAGTGAAAGCAAACCTTTTAGAGCTTTTAATGTTAACAAAGAGCCTGCTGCAGCACGTGTGCCATAGGTTGGCCATCATTGTCTGTGTGGACAATGTAAGCATTCACAAACTTCAGTCTTCAATTAGAACCATGAAGTGTACTATGATTAAGCCCAGTAGACATGAATTTCAGTTTTTTGAAGATAATTCTAATAAAGTAATTGTAAATTCATATAACATGAGGAGCTCTCAGAAGTTACAAGGACATTGTGTGCTATGCTTCAATTTTAAAGACATTATTATCAAATTCAGATGAACTCACATGTTTACATTTTGAAAACTGTACATGTTTATAACAAATTTAGGTTAAAAATTTAGGAACTTCAGGTAAATTAAGGTTTCTATGAATAAATAAATCCTAGTCTTACCAAAACTAGAACATTAAATATTGTTTAACACTGCCTCAAAACTAAAGAAAAGACATACTACTATACTAGCCTGCATATCACACTAGCCTGCATATCATACTAGCCTACATATCATACTAGCCTATATATCATACTAGCCTACATAGCATACTAGCATACAAGGGTTCACACTGCTAGGTAAGGGTACAAATGCCAGTGAAAATCTGCATGGAATATTTCATTAAAGGAAAAATTTAATTATTTATATGTATTAAGAAAGGGGTGCTCACTTCGGCAACACATATATTGAAATTAAAAGAGGGCTGGGGATTTAGCTTAGCGGCAAAGTGCCTGCCTGGCAAGCACAAGGTTGTGAGTTCGGTTCCCGGTACTGGAGAAAAACCAAAAACCAAAAAAATAAAAAAATAAAAAAATAAAATTAAAAGAAAAGGGTTAGTTCCTTGTGGCTTTGCGAATTAAAGATGAAACTTGCACCCTAGGTAAGACAATATTAGCCCACAAGTCAGCTTACAATTGATTAACTCTAATATTTTCTTTATTGGTCAGAAAAGGGTTTTCAGTTGGGTTAATATGGGTCCATACCTAGGTAACTAGAAGGTCTTGCTTACCTGCCAGCTTCAGCTGGTTGAAAGTTGTTGTTCTGAAACAGCACAATCAGTTTGAGATCTACTAGCAAAGTCTTGCTCAAAGTGGAAAAATTTCACTTTACATTAGTGTGTTCCAAGTCACTATGGTATTTGTATTCCATGAGATACAATTAAGAGAGTGGTATGGCAATTTTATTTCACAGTTCCAATCTTACTTTGCCCGAAGTTATGAACTTTGAATCTCAACTTATGGTAAACATTTTAGACATGAAAGATAAAATGTGTAAGAGTATATACATTTATATATTTTTGAAAAATCATAGGGAACATTGGAGCTAACATCCTTGAAGTTCTTTTTTCAGACAGATATTAATAGAGGAAAATTGATGAGTCATATTTTATAATTCCCTCGGGGTTTCCCTTTGCACACTTTATGAGCTTTGGTTATATTGATGGCTAAAGAAAGGCTTATTTTGTTTAAAATTTCTAGGCAAGTAAAGTATCAACTCTTATGCTGGGTAGACCTAAATCAAGTAAGAAATTGGCCAGTGGTCAAGAGATTCCTCCACGTCAAGCCTCAGTTTTGATTTCTTTTTTTTTTTTTTTTTTTTCGGTACAGGGAATTGAACTCAGGACCTTGCGCTCACCAGGCAGGCGCTTGTGCCACTGAGCTACATCCCTGGCCCTGTCAAGCCTCAGTTAAATGCAGAAACAGTGAACTAATTTCAGCTCATTTCATGTACTGTCTGTTTCTCTGGTTTCAGCGAGGGCTGGCTGGAAAGCTAGACTGTTTGGTACATGCCCTAGATTGCACAAGAAAGGGTCAGCAGAGCTTTTGCTGCTCAGAACAAGTCTTGTTTAAACTTTATGCCAAAGGCTCAATTGGATTGAAAAAGTAAATTCAAAGCACTGAAAAAGTGACCTTGTCGCTCAGTGTTCTCGGTATTTTTAATTCTGAAATCAGTTGGATCCAAAGCATCTAGCCTACCATCTCTGTTTTCTTCTTTGATAGTGCTGAACAAAATAGCCCTTAAAAATCATGTTATTTAATATTCGGTTGGGGCATGTTTTACTACCATTATAGCAGATTTGGATCAGCATTTAAACATGGCTGATTAGGAATCTGGTTCTTTGTTTGCTCTGTTTGAGCTGGGCCAAAATCTCCCCATAGCAGGTGGTCTGTCAGAGCTCAGTGCATGAGGGCTCCGAGGTGGTTCTATTTATGTCTCTCTATTAGATAATAGCCCTGAAGCCATGGTCACGGTGACTCTGCCAGACTAGAATCCAAAACAAAGCACAAAGCTGATTACCAGCAGGCCTGTTTCCAAGGGACTTGCTACAGTCCTGCATAAGCATCATGCCCAGTGCCCCAGTTGTGACTGGCCTTGTTGTTTGTTTCTGGTATCAGCCTGGCTGTCAGTGCCGCAGTAGACTGCATCTGTTTCCTCTCTGCAGCTTGTAGGCCAATATTTATTGAGTGACCCCGACTGAGTACACTCCCCCTAGAGCACTGAATAGTGTGCCTCTACGAACGCATTTGACACCAGCCTTTCTCAGCAAGTTGAAGTTCTTGTTGATAGATCTTAGCAATGAGAGTACTCTTTTCTGTGTACTTAGAATGTGAGGTCATAGCCCTCTTAAATACACCACCACATTTGAGAAGTATGAGGACCTGGTGGTATAGGCGAGGTTTCTGTCATTAGTCCTATTTTCAAATGAAAGTAAAAAAGTGTAAGAATGAACTGATTGGTCTAAGATCACACAACCAATAAGAAGATCTCCGCTTTGCCATTTCTCCTTGGCTTCTATTTGACAGGCAGTCATCTGATGTACAGGTTGATGGAGTGCTGCTTGGGCAAGAGCGGTAGCAAGCACATGGACGTCAAAGCTACCTGGCACTCCAGCCCATGTGTATTCCAGAGGAATTCTTTGCTCGGGAGAGCGTATTGTTGTGAACTGGGCAAAAGGAGGCACAGGCATGTGCATCACCTAGGGGAGAGGCTTGTGTCCAATAGGCATGTATCTGATATTAAGAAACCTTATTCAGGAAAGTGGTATTTAAGGGCGGGGCAAAAGACAAGGATTAGAGGATGAATCATAGGGCAATTACGGGCTGATACCCACATGTAGCAGACTGAGTGGCTGAAAGAGAACTGGTGGATGTTGGGGAAATAAGAGGAGAGAAACTGAAAGAGGAGTGACACCCAATAGCACATCAAGTGCTGTGGGCAAGTGAGAATTGAGACGCTGCCAGTGCTACTGGGTCATCATTTCATAATGTGTTAGTTGACTATTAACTTAAAGTTATCTGTAAACATTAAGCAAGACTTATTTAGCCAGTTCACACCTTTCTGTTTTCTTTTTTCTTGTTCGTTTTTTTTCTGGTACCGGGAATTGAACTCACGACCTTGCACTTGCCAGGCAGGCACTGTGCCGCTGAGCTAAATCCCCAGCCCCTCTCTGTTTTCTTTTGATCTATCTATCTATCTATCTACCTCTCTATTTATTATTATTATTATTATTATTATTATTATTATTATTATTAATCTATCTCCTATTTAGATTTTTTGTCACTGTATTTGCTTGGGTTTAGATTTTACTTGTGGAAAGAAATGGCTGAGATTCAGGGAGAAAAATCTTCAAGCATGGCTGTATACTTCTGTTTGTTAATTACTTAGGAATCCTGCAGCTAAAAGCACCTCTTCCATTCTTGATGGAAGAGTCATTCTGTTTGTTCATCTAAGAGAACTGTTTCTGCCATTCTGTTGATCTCATTGCTACTGGTGGTGAAGAATAGGAGCTAAGAGCTGTTTGTTTTGAGAGCAGTCATCCCCAAGGGATGGTGAGAGCTGAATTTCTCACTGCGTTCTTGGACTTCTCCCAGACCCTGACTTCTAGGTACAGTCTCTGTGATCCTGACATGCAGGATCTCTGTGATCCTCAGTTTCTTTCTTTCTGGGTTCTCAGATACTGAAGTTCTGTATAGCTTCTGAGATACATGACAATTATTATATAGAACAGTTATTATATGGTGGCGCTTCCTTTTTGTAACAAAACGATTTCTGAAATATATATATATTTTTAAAAAAGGTTTTCTTTTTGTGTGGCTGACTTAGAGAAATTAGCGCTGGGGGAGATACAAGTGCTTCCTCTTTCTCACACTCCGGTTGAGAAGTAGAAAAGCATCGCACAGCTGAAGGTGGAGAGCACAGCTCTGAGTGTGGCGCTCTCGGTTTTGGTTTCCACAGTAATGGGTGACAGTTCATTTTATTGAACTTCTGTGGTGGGGGACAAATGCTTGCTGCAACTGAGGTGATTTTTAAATTCTCTGTCTCTTGTCCTAATATCCCAGGGCTTCCAGCAAAAGTTCTCCTTCCACAGTAAAGAGATCGTGGCTATCAGCTGTTCCTGGTGCAAGCAGGCGGTAAGTTGGGGATGAAATAAAACAGTTTGGGCTCACGTGAGATCAAAGCAGACTTTTGTCAAGGCTTGAGTTCCTGTCCGCTAGTAATAGGTGTCCTATTACTTTTCTCAGCTAGGCTCTTTGCAGGAAGAAAGATAGTAAAGCTGTAGAACACTAACATGTATGATCTGGGAGAAATTCTAGAGATGCATTCATCCCTTCTCTCTGAATATATTGAAGCCTGGGATCAAAGACTAGAAAATCCTCTCCTCAGACTGAATCCAGGGCTTCTCACTCCTACGCTTTCTTTCCTTGCCACTAAACCATTGAGAGCGCCCCCTGTGGTGGGAAGGGGCAGCCTGAGGAATAAGGCAACAGGCACCATGAGAGGTCTCTCTAGTGCAGGTGGCTGGCCATCCTGGTCTTCTGGTTTTGATGTGACTTTGTTTGTTTATTTGTTTGAGTGAAGGTCTCTATGTGTAATTCAGTCCAGTCTTGAACTCACTATCTATCCTAGGTGGCCTTGAACTTGTGGCAGTCTTCCTGCTTCAGCCTCCTGAGTGCTGGGATTACAGGCATGTGCCACTATGCCCGGCTTGAGTGACATTTTGTAGGACTAAGTATGAAGAGTGAGTGCTTCTTGTTTCCTTTAGGTTTGTGTGGTAGTGTAGTGGTTCTTACCCTAATTGAAATGTATTTTTTCCTTATATTTGAACTCATATATCCATTAAGATCTGATAATAATTTTCCCATTTAGTTTTCTTCTCTTTTATCTACCTTTTCTGGCCGCTTTTTAGTGCCTAACTCCTCTGTCTAAACCAGATACTACATTTTCTTATTTGCCTTGTTCTTTCTTTTACTCTAACTCGGGCATTGATAAGTGATGCCCCCTGCCCCCTGCAACCAGGCCTGAGCTGCCACTTATTTTTACAAATAAAGTTTTATTGGAACACAGCCATGCCTAATTATTTATATATTATCTGTGGTTGTTTTTGCATTTATGGATTATCCATGCCTCCTTTCTTGCTGTACTGGGTGAGTTGAGTAATTGCAACATAGACAAAGGACTCATAAGCTTAAAATAATTACTATGGGGTCTATAGAAAATGTTTGCTGACCTCTGCTCTTTTGAATGACCATATGACTTGGGCCCTTTTACCGCTTCTGTACACAGAGAACCTGAAGACAAAGGGCTGTAGGTTAAAGCTTTGCAGGTAACTTCATCTCACTGCACCAAACAGATTGAATTTGCCTCACAGACCAGCAACATTCGGTTTGAAACATCAGAAGATGACATTTTGGCGCATCAAAACCATTTGCATTATGACAGTTTCATTGTAGTAATCTCACTAGCACGATTTCCTTCGGCTGACCTCACATGTCACAAGAGCTTTCTGCCACTGGGAAGCTCGGTGCTTGCTGCATCACCATCCTGGCACATTCTGTGTCCTTGACATTTCCTTCTCTTTTCAGTTCCTTGCCACATACATAACCTCTGTGGACGTGAGAGTATGTTCACAAATCTAAGGCCATCCTAGTGCTAGTGAAATTCTGTCTCAGTGGCAGTATTTCCATCTGGGGAGGAAGGGGCTGATCTGGTGTCTGGAATCTCTAATGTTATCCATGATGCTGGCCTCCCAGCCTGGTGAGACCCAACTGGAGGGGCAGCGTCATGGGCAGGTGGGCTCAGAGAGGCTGCGCCTCCTCCTGAGTGTAGCTACCAGGCTGGGATGAGATGGTTTATCCAGGGTCAGTTACTATAGAAGCAGCCTCACTTTAAGGTAAATATGTGTGCTCTCTTCATGAATCTGTAGCCCAACTGAGTCTCTAAAGACTGGACTTCCACTTGGCCATTGGTCAGTTCCACATATCTTTGCATTGCCAAGGTTCCCACATTATAGGAGGCAATTGTAAGAATCATAAATAGAAAATATTTTGACTGGAATTACCATGTAAAGTAGATTGTGTATTTTATAGTGTTGGTAATCCCACCTTGGATATTTGATGTCAAACAAACCAGTAAGTGACCTTCTGTGGTATAGGACAAAGAACCCTGGGCTGAGAGCTGGGTTTCCTGTAGCTAAGTCCTGCCACCATCATTTAAAACTTGCAGTCCTGAATTTACCTCTTAGTCCATATATTAGTCCAACTATAAGTTGAGAGAGCCGATTTAGGCAATCTCAGAGACCCTTACTATTTTAGAAATATAATGGTCATGTATTTCAGGGTTTATTTCAATTGCTAAAAAAATGTAAAAAAGGCATCAAAGTAATATTTTCTGCAGATCACAAGTAGCTGGTATCTGGGAAGGTTACTGATGATTTTATCATTTAGTATTTTGTATTTAGTTGGCTGATTACTAATTAGCCAGTGGATCACAGCAGATTTTAAGACATGCAGAAATGAAAAGTCTCTGAGTTTTACAATAAAATTAGGGGGCTCATATTTGCCAGTTTTCCTGAGACAGTGCTAATTATTGTCTGTTGCCCCAATATGATTATTACCAGTGATCCCTTTCATTCTTAAATTGTCCCAATTAAAATGATAAGTTATATGGCCATAATAAGTATAATTCAAGTAGAAACTGGTGTTTAATTTTTAAAAAAAAATCATTGTGTTTAAAATTTAAGGTCCCTAATTATTGTATAATGTTGACTTTATGTTTATTAGAAAACAAATGCTACTGCACATCACTGTGGCTTTATAGGCAAAAAAGAATTGACAGTGTGATTGGCCTAAAGTCACCAGTTCCAGCTTTGCAGCTGGGGTATCCAGTTAAGCCCCTCACACTGAGGTATTGTTATGATCATTAGCCTGCATTTACTTCCTTCCTTTCAAAAACAAAAAGCCTTGTAGCTTTGCCAAGTATAAGAGAGGCGATGTATTTTGAAGGGGTTTAGAGGAACCCACAGAAACAATCTCCTTGAACTTCGTTACCTCTGGGATTAAGAATTTCCAGAAGAGACATCCTGTCTCTTTCCTGGTGTCTCTGAACTGGAAAGACAACCTGGGAGGATTTACATCTCGGATGGAAAAAGAGAGGCAGAGAGTAGGCATCGCCTTTCTGCTTTTATTTCTTTCTCCATATTATTCTTAATCACCTGAGTCTCTGACCAGCATTAGGTCAAGGGAAACATTTGCTTGCAAAGTTAGGATTACTAGAACCTTCTAAGACGCTTCACACGTCAATGTAAATATCCTACTAAAGGGTTAGAAAGTTCTAGAGGGCCTCGCCCTGCTAGGTTGATTTCTTGTTAACTGCTGTGGTAGATTTGTACACTGGAATGAATTGGGAATCTGGTCTATAGGTTCCCGAGGCTAGTTGGACCATGGCGAGAAGCCTGTGTCCTTAGGGTGTGTGTGTGTGTGTGCACGCGCGCACAAGTCTTATGAGTGTACTTACTTCTCACTGCAGTTCTGGCCGGAATTGCTCATTAGCCTGTTTTTCTCTTCAGTTTCACAATAAGGTGACCTGCTTCATGCTGCATCACATCGAGGAACCCTGCTCCCTGGGGGCCCACGCTGCTGTTATTGTCCCTCCCACGTGGATCATTAAGGTGAAGAAACCTCAGGTAACTGCCAGGACCCTCGTGCTGCTGGGCCAGCACAGAGAAATAGCAACTGCTGCTACTTGCTTTTCTCCCCTTAACTAGACTCTGGGTTCCTGCGACCTCTGTTCAATCATCCCGTAGGTCCCACGTGTGCTTCCAGTTTCATCGCACTGACCCATTACTTGACTACCTTGGGCTCTCTCAAGGGACCAGCAGCCCCGCCCTCATGAAGGCAGAGTTCCTGAGCAAGAAGGTCTCCTCCCCATTCATGTGCTAATGATACTCTCTTTGACAGCAGCTCGCCTGAATTTCACTGAGTGCCAGGGGTGGGTACCGCTGATTCTTTTGCCACTCTTCTCTTCCAGCCTGGGCATTCCCGGGGATCTGTTGAGGGCTGCCTGTGCAGGCTTCATGGCTCTGTTAAGATTTCTGCCACTTCCCACCTGAAAGGCGGGCAGACTGTGAGTCATGACCTTCCTACATCCACAAGGCCGGCCTAGAGAACAATGCTCTGCTTACGGCAACGTGGAATGTGTTCTCTTAGTCGTTACCCTCATCGTGTGTTCTCCTCAGTGATCTTTCCACCCTGGCGAGCCTTGGCTTCCCTATGCCGGGAGCCATGGTAGTTTCTGGACAAGGTCATCCTTTTCAGTAGACAATGTTTTCTCCTCACACTGTACATCTTAGCGAGACCCATGCTAAGGATGGCAGACTTTTAGCGCTACAAGGAAAGAGACTGCGCTTCCGCTAAGATGCAGGAAGTCATGGAACATCACTTTAGAGGATGTGGTGGCCCCACTTCCTGTGATCGCCAAAGTCTTGCAGTTCATTTTCAGTTTTATTGAGCAGTTTTATTGAGTTTTATTGGGCAGTTTTATTGAAAAACTAGTGAATCAGGAATACTGTTGTGCCTCGTGTTTCAAGTAAAGTTTAGTCTCTCTTGATGAATAAAGTTTAGGAATAACTCTCCCGAGTTACAATCTGTGGAAGCCCTTGGGAGAGCTTTTCAGGAAGCAAGGACAATCTCTGCATGTTGAAAGTGAGGAGTCAAATCTTTCACTTTACATTTTGGAATGAAGTGTCAAGATATATTGAATAAATGGCCCAAGCAAATTATATATACATACCACTGTCTAAGATTCAAGTGTGCTGAATTGCAATTTTTATTTCTAAATCTCTTTAACATGTCTACTTCTTTGTTTTCATTTTTTTTTCTATGATCTGGTGACCTCCCTGAGGCTTTACATCATGTATCAATTCAGTTAAATCAACATCTTTTTGTTGAAAACTCAGATTGTATCAGAAAGTCTTCTAGACACTGTGATACAACACAGGAGCTTTGCTTGGAAGATCACTAGAGTTATTTGAAGGGTTGAGGGAGCTGCAGGAGGAGGTGGATTTTATTGTTTTTTTTAAAAAGGGGTGGGATTTAGGGCATTGAAAAAGGAAAAGAATAGCATCAAGAGAATGGCCTTAGCAGAGGAACCGTGTCCAAAATTGTGTACATGAGACAGCAAAGTTAGACAGCTGAAGTAAAAGGTTCAAAGAAACACTTCAGGCATGAGTGTGGAGGGACTGTGATACACAGGGATTTTGTGGGCTTCTTTGTATGCAAAGGAGTGAAAGTAAAATAATACTTCAGATGGAAAATCTAGTAAGAATATGTGGGATGACTTAGTGTATGGGATTTTGAGGGAGTTTAAATAGAACAGGAAAATTCAGAAGATGAGTCCACTCTGCAAAGAAATGTTAAGTTCATTTTTCTAAAATTTATATAAAAACTTTTTTGTCATGGAAATTTTCAGTGAAATGAAAAACATTCTGTTGGATTCTTCTGTGACGGTCAAGTTTTCTGCCATTCTTGTTTCATTTATCTTTTGCCACAGCATGTTTTCTTTCTTTTGATTGAAATTTTTTTTGTATGTGAGATTCACATGCATCTGTAAGAAATAATGTAGAAGAACCCCATGTACCCTTGACAGAGTCCTCTCATGGATAGATCCTGTGGTACAGTATCCCTCCCAGGGTGTGGGCAGCCCCCTCCCCACTAGGACCCCTCCTGTTACCTCTCCATAACCACACCCATTTTCCTCCTAGCCTGACCCACCTACCTCTTTTTCCTGGAGAAAGAACTGCCCCAGTTCGTTTTCTTTTGCAAGAGTATGGTGAAGCAAATCTTAGCCTGTGATCTAATCTATAAACATTTCATTTTTCTAAAATACAATGTTTTCAAAAGATAATGATGTACCTTTGCCTCACCCATCAAAGTGAATTATTAAAAATTTGCTCCTTGCTCTCAACTATCGTTTTTTACACTTAAGGTTTCAAATCAAAATCCAAAGCTTTAAACTGCCTTTTGTCGACTATACTTTAAATTTCTTTTAAATTTACAATACCCTGTCAGATTTTTCATGTCCTAAATGTTGAATAATTTGGATAACTTCTGCTGTAGAACTTGCCATAGTTTGATTTTTGTCTGATTATAGTCCTATTATGTTTTAAAATGACTTTACTTATTGTTGATATTCCATGTTTCCATGTAAACTAGTATGTGTACATAGTGACTTAGATTCGGGTTTAACTTCCATAAAAGGAATGTATGGGTAATGCTGTGTATTTGTATGTCTTTCCATCAAAGAAACATAATATCAGGGTGTTTCACTGTTAGTGATGCATCATTAATTAGTGGGACTGGGAACTCTCACCCTAATCTGTCCATCATAGACTTTCAATTGTATTATCCATTAAGGATTATTTCCAAAATCTATTATTTCATAATTGTAAACAAAGGGTGGTTTTCCATGTTTTTTCTTTTTCTCCTTTTACTGATGATTTTTGTATAAAGAGATCTTTCCCTTATTCCTAACAAATACATGTTTGACAAGTCACCTTTATTAGTTAATTTTCATAATAATATGCTGATGTCTTAGCAACATTTAAGAATATTGTGGTTGTTTTTACAAACAATCATAGACTTAACAATTCTTATGTAGATGGATGCACAGAAACATGATGTGTTTCAATCTATTATCATTATTCTTCTTATGCTTATTTTCCTTCACCTTCAGCCAGTCGTATCCTCTTCCCGGTGGCTTCTCTCTCTTACCATGAATCGAGAAGTTTTTGGTAGCTCCCTTAGTTTCAGAACTGACATCATTCCCATAATCATCTTGAGCATTTTATGTCCATACCATTAAATGTCCATACATTTTATGTCCATTGATGATACCATAGAATCATCAATTTCTCCAAAGAATCTTGGTTATTTTTAACAGAAGATGGCATTTACAGATCACAGTCTGGATGCTACAGTCCAAATTTGTTATTCAAAATTCACTTTTTTCTTCTATGATTGAGAAGATTGTAAAAATAAGGAGAATGAAAGCTCGTGCTTATCAAATGCATTATACGTATTAGGAATATGTATAAGAAGTACCTGTCCCACATCATCAGAGTAACCTGTAAGCAGATATCCTGTTTTGTTCCACTCTATAGCTGAGGAATGAGGCACAGAAAAGTCAAATACGTTATCTAGGGTCATATACATCTTAAATAGTTTGAGAGAGGTTGGATACCAGGAGTAATGATTTTGAAAATCAGGTTCTTAATGATGTGCCTGACTGGATTACTTAATCAAATATCTTTAAACATTTTGATGATCTCTTTTGCTGTGGGCTCCAAAACCATTATGCAAGTTAATCAGTGAACTATATTCTGCTGAAAGGCTCATGTGTGATGAGTTGGGGGAGGACAGTATAAGTGTTGAAGAGCTCGAGCTTTGGAGGCCACACACCACACTGCCTTAACCTTGCTCTGCCAGTTACTAATTTATGTGACACTGAACAACTTAAACCCTTCTGTTTTAGTTCATTGCACTCAAAGTGTAAATAATGCCAGTTCCTCATTCAGAGCACATCGAATATCACCTGGTTCATTATAAATGCTCAATGAAAGTTACCTCTTGTTAACTTCTGTTGACTTTGAAGAGTACAAGATATCAAGTAAAGACATAGAAAGTGTGATCAAAACATATAGTGCATGTTTAAAATTAAAAAGTAATAAATGAATCTTTGCCAATAATGTCCTCAAAATACTCTACTTCCACACTGTAAACAGACTTATCCCATCATTCTTACCACTTTCTAAAACATTTCTGGAAGTCCTCCTTTGTGAATATCTTTAGTTATGCTGTTTTAGCTGGTTGGATGTGCTGAGCTGATTCAAAATGTTTACATTTCATGATGGTTTTGACTATGTGAAGATCCAGAAGTCACACAATGCCAGATTCAGTGAATAATGTGAAGGAGGACATACAGTGACTCATGTTTCCACAGTCTGCCTTTCTCCTGGATGTCACTTAGCAGTAGCATTCACTCTATTTTTGATTACAAGACATAAAGAAACTTACAAAAGAGAACTTCCAGAATTGCTCCAAAAGGTGGCAAGAATGATGGAATACCTATGAGCAAAGTGAGAGTGAGTATTTTGAGGGGGACTAATGGCAAATTATCTCTTCACTGAAATGTTTTTAGATTTATGAATTCACTGTATGTTTTGATCACACCTCCTGTGTCTCTGCTCTGACACCCTGTACTCATTTTGTCTTTTACTTTTTTGTAATAAATTTCAATGTAAACATTCACCGTGTATATTTTGGTCACACTTTTGCATCACAGTAGATGAAAGTCTTGGACACAGGTCTGTAGAGAAGTCACTGTACCATCAGTGTTAAAATGAAAGAGCATGGTAAGAGGATGAGATTTCCAGGGGAGAGGGTGTAAAGAGAGACAAGTTAGAACTGGGATCTGCTGTGCTCCAGAGCAGTTTGAGACACTGTAACTGCTGTATTTTGCACTGCAGTGGAATTGTTTCTTAGCATATTGCCTATACTGTGAAAAAGAGCCAAGGCCTTCTCATTTTCTGAATACACAATGGAAGAAGATTGAGTGTTCACCTACACGCAGAAAGTGAAAGAAGAGAATCCTGCAAAATGAGGAGAGCTATGGTAGTACTGTTTCATT